AATATAAATGATGTAAGTTATGATTGCTCCTCCTCCAAGAAAGAACTTCTCAGACCAAATTTGGAATATCAGTTTCATGTGATGTCGTAGTAAGGATATGAAGAAAGCTAAAGGATGTGTAGTAAAGTGGAAAAAATATATGATAAAATATGTAATTTCTTTCTTTTTCATTGAAATTCTGGAAATATGTAGCAGGTAGAATAAAACTCCAACCGAAATGTAATTGTAATGCATTCACTTAAAAGGACATGAAATCTAACAAAGCAAGAAATGTAACAAGAGAGGAAAAATATAACAAGAAATTTACAAGACCAGAAATGTAACAAGAGATGAAAATAACAGGGTGCAGCAGAAATACCTCCCACATAACAAGACATTAGGTAAATGAAGATACCATTGCCACTCATGTCTTACCATTATGTAGTCGGTATATCTGGCAGGTATATGTGGGAGAGAGGTATTTCTGTTGCAGCCTGTATAACAAGACATTTAATGTTACAAGACCGGAAATTAACAAGGAAGGAAAGGTATAATAAAACTGGAAATTTAACAAGCTACAAAAGAGGAAATATAATATTAGGTTGGTGCAAAAATAATGACGTAATAATGTCTTTTCAACGTTAAAAATACGTCAAAAAACGACATTATTACGTCATTATTTTTGCACCAACATAATAAATAGGAAATGTAACGAAACAAGAAATTTAACAAAGAAAATGTAACAAAACTTAAATTGTAGCAAGAGAGAAAATCTAACAAATCCGGAACAAATTTGTTAATATTCTACCGAGTATTCCAAGAAATAGCAAAAATTGGAGCAAAAATTCATAGGATTTTTTTTAAGTGTATTTCAAAAACAAAATTTAGATATTTGTACAGAACTTTCTTCAACCACATATGTGCAATTTTATCTCACTAGATCCATTACAATTGAGTAATGAATTCAACCCTTATTGGTTACCCCGTACTTTCGGCCTTGTGCCAAATCTAAGCTACGTTTGGAAAATCACCATATGCGCAGTTTTGTTCCACTACCGTTCGTCATTTTTAATGTGAATTTTTGCGCGATTTTTTTATACATGTAAGCAAATGATAAACTCGGGTATTAGCGGATTAAGTAATTTTGGATTACCACCATGCCTCGTTAAAACACCAGTTCCCGTACGATCACCGACGTTAAGCAACGTCCAGCCTGGTCAATAACTAGATGGTTGATCGTTTGGGAATGCCAAATGCCTTAAGTTTGAATATGCGGGTTGTGTAATGGATAACAGAAATGGCTCGGTATTGGAAATCGGAGAGCCGAGTTCGAATACCAGTCGGTTTCGTCATATTCACTTAAACGCAAGTACCCTTGGGAAAGGTATGAATCCCCCTTTTCTCCACCCAGCGATATATTAAATCGTAGAACATGTATCAGTAAACCATTATTATCTCCAAAAACTTCTTACAGTATAAAAACATTTTCTGACTTTAAATAACCTGCAAAAAGTTGGGTAGCCGTGTTATAGACAAGCGTATGGTTGCAAGATGGAAATACGACAACAGCAGAAATAGATTTACGTGATATATTTCAATAGGAATGTGTGGGGTTGGGACAGCTACCTTGTGATATAGTTCATAAGCCGGCTTCCGGTCTGGGTTGATCTCTCATAGTAGTTTTCACTGGTTGGCGTGGCGCTCCTCCTGCTGACTGCTCAGACTGAGCGTGATAGATCTCTTCCCTGGCCTCCTGTTGACTGCTAGTACTTCCCCGTGTGACCCCTTTTATGGCGTTTTTTTTTTATGGCTTAACATGCTCGAAAAACGACGCGAGTATAATTAGGAGAGAAGCATTTTTATTGGTCGAAAAATAGAAACACTTTAAAATATTATTTTATTCTTCGACCGGAACCCGTGTGTCGGGCCTATGCGCAAACGACGATAATGGTTATTCTGTGACGGGGCCTTGTCCCGTTCATATCCAGCTCTCGAACTTGAGTATGTTTGTTTGCCTGCAAATCAGCCGAGATATGTCTTATTTTATTTTATAAAAGGCGTAAAAAAACAAATCAATCATAAATCAAATCAATAAAGTGATCTTGAACTTTCTTTTGCTTTGTAATTTCAAAGTTTTCACAACTGCCGATAGTGAAGCTTGTCAGCGCATGATTTATTGTGGAGAAATATCTAATCAACTTTAAAAAATTCTGGTCGAATATTAACTTTATAAAGACAATTGCCAAAAAAAAGGTCACATTTCTGAAACTACGAACCTAAGTGTCTATATATTCGCCCACTTAACTGATGATATAATTGTTAAATTATGAAACTGAATAAAGGTGAAAATAAATATCTGATTTTCCAGTTATTTTTACTTAGAAAAATCATTTATAACAAAAATCTAAATATACTGTAAGTAATAACGGAGTAGCGGTGGAAGTAGTAATTAATTTATAGATTTTTTTTTCATTTTTGCAAATACAAGCCAGTGACTGCAAGAATCCATGTATTCCCATGGTGATAGAAAGATTCAACGCTGCATTCCTTCAACCAAAATCGTGCGTTTCAGCTGAAGAAAGGAATACATTTCTCTAAGAAGCAAATGAAAGTAAAAAAAATAGTTGTAGATTCAATTTCTTTAAAGTGCAGCACAATTATTAATTATTTTTACTGCGTTTCTTTGCTTTAACAGCTGCAAAATGAAAATAAGGTTGTAAACATAAATAAATAAACTGATTATATATGGCATAAAACTAATAGATAATGAACACAGACGATTGAAATAAACGCAGATGTGAAAGTTCTTTAGTGACTCAAATTTGAGAGCATTTTGCAAATGTTTAATTAGATATAATCTTTTACTTGATATTTATAACCATTTCGGAAAGACAATAATGCATCACTTTCATTGCATTTAAATACATGCATAGTTTTCACAAGTATAGAGCATCTAGGTAGGATCGAACTCAACTACTCAGTCCTAATTTTTCTAGCGAGACGAGCTTGCTCAACATTACACAACGTCGAGGTGCTCCTCTCATTAAAACAATGTATTTTTAACAGAGTAAAGAAAAATACAAACGATATTAAATGAAAGCTAAAGAACTACAGATCTTTAATTAAAAAGAAAAACATGGTATTATAGCGGCAAACATTCTAAAGTCAAGCAGTTAAATTGAAGAAACCGCAACAAATCTTGTAGATTAAATTGTAAAAGGAAGCTGCAAGGCATAGAGATTGTTTTGTGATTTGTCATGTATTTTTAAATAACAATCAGTACCCTAAATATTGACATAAATTCTAATTATATAAGCTAGCTTTGAGATACAAATCTAGCATTATTAATTTAAACAGAATATGAATAAACAAATCTGTTTTACCATTTCTTCTAATAAATATTTTCTAATCAAACGTTGCTCTGACAATTCCACAACAGTGGAGCACGCAGTGAGGACTGAAATCTCGATCAATGATTAATGAGACTACATCGCCAAAAAATCGCCTAAGGTTAAAGCAGTATGTTGTAGCGACTGTAATCTTTCAATGTTAATTTTAACGCCCCCAAAAGAAAACTGTTCTATATTAATCATCTGAAAGAACGCTTTCCGCCTTCCATCAGATGTTAGCCTCCGGGAGAGTGAGCGAGTCCCTGCGCCATTTCAGGTTAACATTATTGGCTAACATGAAGTGGAAAAACTGTATTGAATATATTGCTAGGTCTGCTGCTAAGTTTACTGTGTTATGCTAGGAAATCTTTTTCTCAAGAATGTTAGACATTTCCATGACGGTCGTCCTTCAGTATTGAATCTAGAGGTTGGCAGTGAATATTGCGGAGACAGTAGGAAAGCGTAGTGCAGGTTCGCAGTGGATATCACAGCAGAGTGTAGTTCATCCTTCTCCTGGTCGCCTTTGGTCCTTCCGGTAGGAGGAAACAACATGGCCGCCTTTATACACGATGAATACAGTGTTGGGCGGCTTCTGATTGGTCAACCTTCTATTGGTCAACTATAAAGGGAAATAAGTCATTCTGACTCGATCACTAGTTATCGGTGGGTTATATGCCCTAAAAACCGTAACAAAGAATTTATCTTACATATCTATAAATTCACCTAACCTTAGAATATTGCTGCTATATATAACCCGGTGATCCTGCTATATATTTAGAGATTCTTGATAAGTACTAATCAGCAATATTATCGATCATGACCTGGTTTCTCCATTTCACTCACTTCCCCACCACCGTAAAGTTACTTCTCTGTGCCTTTTTCTATAAATACTTTCATGGTAATTGTTCGGATGAGCTCTTTGCTATGGTACCTAGAGTTCATGACTTTAAGCTCATTAGTACATTGGCAAGAAGGTTTCATCAATTTACTGTTGAATTGGCTAGATGTAACCGTAAGTTCTATGCTAACAGTTTCCATTTTAGCACTTCCCACTTGTGTAACTCACTTCCGGATCCATGTTTTTCGTGCACTTCACATCTTCAAAAATTTAAATCCAATGTCAATCCTTCTCTACTGTCGTCTTGATCACTCTTCTATTGTTCTTGCTACTTGTTAATATTTCTGTTTTCTAATTCTTTGACACCTAGTAACCTCTTGTGTCTTACTATCTTTATTAGCTTGGTTGGGGCAAATTCGATTTAAAAAATAAGGAATGCAAATTGATCAAATTTCAAAGCTCAGAAATTTGAGAAATTTCTATATCTTAGATTTTTTATAGCTGGAGTTTTGCTAGCAAGATTTTCATTGAATTTGAATTGGAGTGAATCGAATATTACTTATATTCAGCCAAACCTAATATATAAGTACCTTTTTGAAACAATAAAGGCCAAACTCATTATGAATGACATGCGTGAGCAATATACTAAGCAATTTTTCATTATCAAGATCGATTTGGTAGGCTATCGTTGTTAAACTTTAACTTTCAATTACCGCCTCATTTCCTATTTCCTAACCACTGGCTGGCTTTCAATTTTTCTTTTGCTCGCCCTGTTTCCTTACCTGGAAACAGGCTTACGGCCACATCACATTAAAATACCCGTTCCCGTACGATCACCAAAGTTAAGCAACGTCGAGACTGACAAGTATTGAGATGGGTGACCGCTTTGGAATACTAGGTGCAGTAAACTTGGATGTGCGGGTGGTGTAATGGATAATGGATCGGAATTCTTAATCAGACAGCCGAGTTCCAATTACCGTAGTTTTCGTTATATTGACCTACGCGCAAATACCATTGGGGAAGGTATGAATCCACCTCTTGCCCCTACCCCCAGCTATAGGTTAGTAAGACTTGTATCACTAAACAATTATTATCCCAAGAAAAATTACAATCTAAAAATATTTTCTGGCTTTAAATGAACAGAAAAGGGTTGATAAGACGTAAAAAACTAAACAATGAATCTATTGCCTGGAATCACCACTATACCCACTTACATCATGCATGCAATAATGTATTCATGTTGATATTTTATTATTAACTACCAGAAATATGTGTTTCTTTATGTTAAATTGTAGAAACATCTATTTTTGGCAAACTTTTGCGAGACAATATAATATACTGTTTCACATTGACCTGCAAGAGATATATCATTATCAAGAATCTCTAAATATATAGCAGGATCACCGGATTATATATAGCAGCAATATTCTAAGGTTAGGTGAATTTATAGATATGTAAGATATGAATATAGAGAATCGTTCTACTATCGTTTATTTTTGTTCACAAATAGATTGTTAAAGAAATCCTTTATTTGTTCTAAATAGGCGCATCTATTATTCTCAAGTAAGCCAATAAATAAATAATATGAAAATGAAGTCTCCCAGCCGTTAGCCATTTGCTTAACAACAAAATCCTCTCCTCCCGTAGTGTTGTGGAGTAAACCGTACAACGCTGACTATATAAACTAGTCCATAACTATAAATAAAGAGCTCCGGGTAAGAGGCAAAAAGGAGAAACCGTCTGGAGCCAGTCTTCAGACTAATTAATACAGGCTTCACGGTAAGTTTCCAAAGCATTACTTATATTATAAACGCTACGAAGCCTCTTATAACTGTGTAAACGAAGGATTCGAAACTCAGTTCATTTATAAACGTTGTGATGAGGATTCGAACTCTTATATCATTAACAAGAATTAAGGAACTCATACGCGTTGTAATTTGTGTTACAAGAATTGGGCAAGCTCATACTGAGTGAACAAGTACGGAAAAATACATGTTACTTCAGAAACAACCATACGGGTGACGACAAGAATTTTAAACACGTTGGTTTGAATTTTTTTTTCTTGTTATGCTGGCGAAGAAAAAAGATTTTCTCGTCGGTGTAGGAAAAACATTCTTGCGAAAATAGAGCAAATTTTGGTTTCGATAGTTCAAATTCAACAACAGAAACAGCAACAACAACAAAATCAACAGTTGCTAGAACTACAAAAACAGCAACAGCGGTTGTTGGATAGAATTTTGAAGAAACCAAAACAATTTCAACGTCTCTTACGCCAGACGCTGTCCAAAATACCATCTCAGAAATTATATACAATCCTGATGAAGGACTGTCTTTTTCTGCGTATTTTCCTAGATATGAACAAATAACCAATCAGAAATGCAGCATCTTGGAAGATGAGAGGAAAACGAAATTGTTGTTGAGGAAAATAGCTCCGATAGAATATGAAAAATACTGCAACTACATATTACCGAAAAAAACATAAAAAATCGGGTTTGCAGACACAGTACACATTCTGACGAAAATCTTTAGTGACCAGAGTTTTGTGTTTAATGCTTGTTGGAGGTCCATGAATCTAACTAAATAAAAGAAGATGATTTTGTCACGGATGTCGTCAACAAAGAATGTGAAAAGTTAGAATAAAGGAAACGATATGTTCAAAGGGTTCATTTTCGTGCGAGCTAAAAAGATGTTGAAATACGAGCGAAAATTTTAACGAAAATTGAATAAAACTGTAATATGACACTGCAAAAAATAGTGGACGATTGCCAAACAATTCTAAGTCTGAAACACGATATGGAAGAAACTCAGAAAAAATGCGTTAGTTCAAGTAAAGGAAAAATGTACAAAAATGAGAATAAATCCTTGTTTCATATGTGGTAAATTGCATCTTGGAATTTAAATGTGCAGAATTTTACAAGTGTGGTAAACGAAGGCATATAAAGTCACCCTGCAAAACCAAATCAAGAAAGAAATTCTCCCAGGAATTATATCGTACAGAGCACTGCGACTGAAAATAGCCACAAAAAAAAAAACAAAAGGAAATTTGTGAATGTGAAAATAATATGGATGTGAAAATGCTACTAGACACTTGTAATGAGATTTCAATAATCAGTGAAACCACATGGGAGAAAATTGGACATCCTTTATTAAAATGGACTTCAATGGTAGCGATTTCAGTTTCTGGTGAGGAATTATTTTTTTGAGAAATTACTTGTAATGTTTCATTCTGTAATAAGCATGTAAAAACTAAAGCTTATACGTTAAAAATGCTACGAATTTATTCGGTAGTGACTGGGTGGAACTATTTGAATTTTTGGATTTTCCGATAAAAGTTTACTGTAAAAACGTAAGTGGACAAGTGACTAATTTAAAAAGTCGGTACGAAAATCTTAAGGAAAAATTAAAAATATTTCCAGATGTTCTGTCAAATGAACTGGGTCGGTGTTCAAAATTCAAGTAAAAAAAAAAAATAGGTTCAACGTCAGTATTTAAGCAGAAATGGAGCGTACCATTCGCAGCATTGGAAAAAGTCAATAAAGAACTAGAGACACACAAAATAATTTTTGTAATAGAAAATATTAATCATACAAAATAGGCTACACCAGCGGTATATGTGAAGAAAAAAATTAATAAAATTCGTGTTTGCGCGGATTTCTCGATATTTTTAAACAGTTGTTTAAAATACATAACTACCCATTACCAAGTCCAAAGGAAATTTTTCGAAGTTGAACGGCGGAAGAATATTTTCAAATTTGGATCTCACTGAAACGTATTTACAAATTCAGACTGAAAATGAATGTTCAGAATTAACGACCATAAATACACACAGGGGATTGAGTTTAACCGACTTCTTTTTGGTATAACGGTGGCACCAGCTATTTTTCAGCAAGCTATGGGTACCATGATTGCAGATTGCGATTTTACAGTGGCGTATCTGAACGACATTCTTAATCGAGAGTATGTCTAAAGTGTTGGGCATGGAAAAACAATTTGGGAATAATTAAGAGTACGGATTCAAGTTCAATGAAGAAAAGTGCGAATTGTTTATGCCGAAAATTGGTCAAATTATTAATAAAAATGGTCGTCAACCATATCATTTGAGAGCAAGTGTAATTCTCCGCCAACAAATGTGACAACGATACAAGCTTCTTTCTTTTTCTAGGATTGGCTAATTACTATCAAATATATGTACATAATATGCATAATTTGAGAGGTCCACTGAACGCTCTACTTTAAAAGGGAATAACGTGGAACTGGAATGACAACTGTCAAAAAGGCCTTTGACGATATAAAATAAAGACTTATGTCAAATTTTTCATTAGCACACTACGATCCAAAAACAAAAATTGTAATGGCGTCAGATGCTAGTGAGTACTGTTTTAGAGCGGGGATTTTACACAAATACGATGGCAGAAAAATGAAAACCTTCGCTCATGCTTCACGCTCGGAAAAAATTTCCGCCAGATACAAAAAGAAACCCTAGCAATTATATCTGCTGTGAAGAAATTTCATAAATTTATTAAAGGAAGAAATTTTAGTTTACAAACAGACCGCAACCCTCTATTAGCACTAAAAGGAATACCTACGCATATGGTTAATAGACTACAACGTCGGGGTATCTTCTTCTTAAACTATGATTTTACTATGGAGTAGAAGCGTCTAAAAAAGTAGGTCATACGGACAGATTAAGATTAATACCTAAGATTTTGGAATCATTTGGTTGCAGAACTAAAAATCGAAATAAAAATAAAAACAGTTTGTAAAAAAAATAGTACGAATGTTACCAGTCACCATGGAAAAAATTAAAATAAAAACAGAAAATGACGACTTTACTGCGATAATAAAAAAAGAAACAATTGAAGGAAAGTTACAAATTCCAGACTAGTAGGTAAGATAGTAGAACGATTCTCTATATTCATAGTGTTTTTCCTCCTGCGGGTCAGTGTGAAACAGTATATTATATTGTCTCGCAAATGTTTGCCAAAAATAGATGTTGCTCCAATTTAACATAAAAGAAACGCTTACTCGCTATGCAATGGAGTAGTAATACTTGGTCAAAGGGTTGTAACACCTAGTGTGTTACAGAAGTGAATATTGAAGCGGACATTATCATTCATAGCGGACATCTTGGTATTTCAAATATAAAATCTCTGACGAGAAGTTTCGTATATTGGACCAAAATGGACCAAGCTATTGAAAAAAAATAGTGAAAGCTTGGAGAACGTGTGCTCTGGCAGCAAAACTACCGATCACAAAGCTAGAAACTTGGCCAAAGCAGACACTCTGTGGTCAGGACTGCATGTAGATTTTGCAGGTTCTATGAATGGATCATATTATCTTGTGGTAGTTAATAGTTTCACTAAATTTATAAGTGCAAAAATCCAACATCTTCAGTGATAGAGAGTGTCTTGCATGAACCGTTTGCGAGATATGCCATACCAGATACTATAGTCTCTGATAACTGTTGTAGAGTAGTTTTCACAGTGGAGGCTTGTATTTCACTAAGTCGGTCCTAACTTAGGTTCGACGTACAAAACGTCAGGAACTTGAAATAATAGTTAATGACGCAGCAATCTAGTTGTGGTGATGATACTTGTAATGTCCGACATCGACTGACTCACACAACTCACTGAGCTCCACTGGCGACCGCTACTACTACTACTACTTATTATGTGTGGGAGAGTCTATTACAATAGAATAGGTAATGTTCCTGTATAACAATAAAGGAACGCAATTCACAGCTAAAGAATTCCTAGACATTTGTAAGATGTTCCTCATTGAACATAATACGACCTCACATTACAACTCCAAAACTCAAATGAGCGTTGAAGAAAGCAAATCTTGCGAAATTAAAAGAATAAACACTTTAAAATTTTCTGAGAGTTTACTATGTAACACCTAAACCC